CCCCCGGTATGCCCAAATATGGGAGGAAGATCACTACTTCCATTCTCTGTCCTTCGGCTCGTCACAAGAGACCATCCAGGCAGAAACCCAATATTTTTACTGTTGCCTTTTTGTTACATTTTGTTGTATTTTGTTGTATTTGTGCTGATAAATAAATAAAGGGAGACTAGCTATAGATCTATACTAGTCTCCCTTTATTTATTTATCAGCACAAATACATCAAAAAATGTAACAAAACAACAATAAAAATATTGGGTTTCTGCCTGGATGGTCTCTTGTGACGAGCCGAAGGACAGAGAATGGAAGTAGTGATCTTCCTCCCATATTTGGGCATACCGGGGGTTGTAAAATCTAATAGGTATATATATATATATATATATATTCTGTGAGTTTGGCCATTTGGTTACAATTCACTACCCAAACTAGGTAACATAATCAATGTAATGGTGATTTGTCCGGTCGCCATATATATATATAAATGGCGACCGGACAAATCACCATTACATTGATTATGTTACCTAGTTACCTATATATATATATTATATATATATATATTATATTATTATATACCTATATATATTATATATATATTATATGTTACATATATATGCATATATGCATATATGCATATATATATATACATACATACATACATACATACATACATACATACATACATACATACATATATATATCTCCAACTTCCTGAGCAGCTTTTCAGATCAAGGAGCAATGTATAAAAACTGTCCCATCCCTTTTCTCAAAACACATTACATACAATCACATTATTTCTACTCACTCTTCCATTGAGTTTAATAGAAGGGAATAAATGTAGCTCAGGATTGAACTGTGGAGTTCCTGGTGATCTTTTGAGTTTGATTGTTTCCTTGTAGACTTTTCATTACCCATTAGGTAACATCACCAGTATATGAATGTATATGGAGTTTGCTGCCTAATATGGCGACCGGACAAATCACCATTACATTGATTATGTTACCTAGTTTGGGTAGTGAATTGTAACCAAATGGCCAAACTCACAGAAGAACATCAAGAATTTCACAATTCTGAATTCAGCCCATAAGGTTTAATTCTATTAAAAAAAATACATTCCTGTAGGGTTTAATTGCATGTTGGAAATGATGCAGTAATATTTTTTTGCTTGCTTTAAACTTATCCTGTCTAGGTTTCCATGGGTTAACTACCAAGATGAAAATCTCAACGTTTCTATTCCAGTTTTTAGTATTCATGGCAATCACGATGATCCCACAGGGGTAAGAATGTTAAAAGAATGAAAGAAGAGCAGTAGCTTCATTAATTATGCTAGTAATCCTTTAGAAAGACAGCCAAGAATATGAAAGTTACAATCTAGCAATTCTGTACTAGAATCTGCTAGTGAAATTAAGCATGAGTTATATTGTATCCTACACCAATTTTTTGGTAGGCTGCAGTTTTATTTCTTAAACTTGCTGTCAAGTTTATCATACTCATGATTAGGAAGGCATACAAGATAAAAATAGCATTTAATGTAGTACATGGTTTGTGTTTTAGCATAGGATAAAATGTAACTTCCATAGAGTAAAAGCATACATAGAATTGTTATAGAATTGATTTGGTTCATAGTCTTCAACAAAAAAATCACCAAGTTTTAAAAATTAAATTCTTACCATACTGTTTTTGTATGTTTTATTTGTGAAATGTTGTTCACTTTGTGGGAAATTGGTTACATTCTGGTTTATGTCTAATTGTTCAGAGGTTATTCTTAACCTGGAGGAAGTAAAGCAGTTTAGAAGCTAAAGTATTTGCAACTCCACTTTATGTAGCTTGCAATCACTCTTACGTTTTCCCCACTTTTGTGACGTCAAAAGCTTTAGAGGCTATTTAATACAGGAAAAAACATTAATTTGTCATTTAATGTTTGTCTGAGAAATGTAAGCAATCATAAATGCAAAGTATATGGGTTTTTCACTTATGTGCACACACACACATAAGTAAAACCACATTCTGGTTTTTTAAAGCTATATGTGTTGGGAATTTAACAAAATTAATGTGTCACAAATTCCCTTTTTGTTATTATTTTCCATATCTATAGGCAGATGGTCTTTGTGCTTTGGACATATTAACTTGTGCAGGATTTATTAATCATTTTGGACGATCACCATCTGTAGAGAAAATAGAAATTAGTCCCATTTTGCTTCAGAAAGGAAATTCAAAGATCGCTCTTTATGGATTAGGTAAGGCTTTTGCAGATCGGGGCATGATATTTTGTATATACAAGTGGTTCTTGAAAAATGGAAAACAGAGTAAAGATATTGAATTGAATTTTTATGCTGTAATTAGAATTAAGAGGAGTAGTAGCACGATTTGATCCACAAAAGATTGATTAGGCGGCATATGAAAATACTTCCAACTATTTCAAGAGCAAAATTTTGTGAGACAACCCATTTCTGAGCACAAAGCCACTGCTTTGTGAAACATGCTGATCTAAGCACTCAGAAGTGTTTCACGCTCAAAATTACCACTCCAAACACGGACAGTTTCCTTTGTGAAAGGATTCAAAATAATACGTTCTGCAGGCCTCTAAATTTTATATATATTTTCATGCAATGAGTAAAGGAGTCCCTGTGGATTTTACTCTGCTAGTCCAGGGGTTTCCAATTTGGCAATTTTAAGACTTGTGGACTTCAACTCCCAGAATTCTGGGAGTTGAAGTCCACAAATCTTTAAGTTGCCAAGGTTGGAGACTCCTGCACTAGTCGTTGCCGAATATAGAAGGCGTTGCTCATCTCCACTTCAAGGCCATTGAGCCAGCACTGTCCCAAAAAATTTTCATGGTCATAGCCAGCATGACATCCAGAGGTGGTATTCAGCCGGTTCGGACTGGTTCATCCAAACCGGTAGCGGAAATTGCAGGGGGGCCCGCCCTGTCCTATTTAGCCACATTTTTGAGGCTGTGCATGTGCGTGGAAGGACACACGCGAGCAAAGCATATGTGCAGAACGCCAGGCGCATTTGTGGAAGGGGTGCGTATGCTTGCGCAAGCGCGAGGTAAACCAGTGGTAACAAAATGTGAAACCCACGGCTGATGACATCACAAAGTGTTGTTGCCCTCCCACCAAAGTGGTACCTATTTACCTACTTGCACTTACATGATTTTGAACTGCTAGGTTAGCAGGAGCTGAGGTGAGGACGGGAGCCCACCCATCATGTGGAACTCGTGTCTCAAACCTAGGCTTTTGGCTTTCCAGCCGACAAGCCCAGCATCTTAACCTCTGAGCCACTGCATTGCCCCTCGTGCGGTGAGTGCCATGTGGAAAAAGTGTAAGGCTGAAACCCAGCTTGTCTTTAAGGTGTTGCAATGGATTGACAAGGTTAGGGCCCACCTAATCTCTGGGGAATGATTTTCTTTAGTTGGCAAGCTGGCTGTGTAGCAAGCAAAATATTAAACTTGCTTCAATCTTTTGCAAGTAAAGGTAAAGGTTCCCCTTGCATATATGTCCTAGTTGTTCCTGACTCTAGGGGGGCGGTGCTCATCTCTGTTTCAAAGCTGAAGAGCCAGCGCTGTCTGAAGACGTCTCCATGGTCATGTGGCTGGCATGACTAAACGCCAGAGAACGCTGTTACCTTCCCACCAAAGGTGGTTCCTGTTTTTCTACTTGCATTTTTACATGCTTTCGAAGTGCTACTTGGCAGAAACTGGGACAAGTAGCGGGACCTCACTCCATTACATGGTGCTAGGGATTCGAACCGCCAAACTGCTGACCTTTCTGATTGACAAGCTCAGCGTCTTAGCCACTGAGCCACCATGTCCCTCTTTTGCCAGTAGTAAAAACTGCAAAATAAGCTCATATGTTGTCTAAATACTAGCTGGAATCTCACTGATGAGCTGTGTAATTTTCTGCTTGGTGGGTCTCTAAAAGCCCCATTGCATGTAATTTTTCTCTTCTAGGATCTGTTCCCGATGAAAGACTATATCGGATGTTTGTCAATAAACAAGTAACCATGTTGAGGCCGAAAGAAGATGAAGATAGATGGTTTAATCTGTTTGTAATTCATCAGAACAGGTACAGCTGCTGTTTAGTAAGCCAGCCAAGGAGCATGATTTTTTCCCCTTCCAGAGCACTTTAGGAAGGTATGGTCTACTTGGAGATGGCAATTCTGTAGTTACCTAGGCCCTGAGTCCAAGCTATGAGGGACTTTTGCTGTTTGCAGATTACTAGCTTTAAATAGTATTGGGAAACAAATTGGTGTTTCTAGGGGATCAGAATTAGACCAGGTGATTTAAGAAGCTCCATGGAGGCCTGCCTCAGTAGAATTTAATCTAGACACGGTCCTTCATTCTGAGGAATATGATGGGTGTCTCTTGGTTCCCCCCCCCCAGCCTACCTCAGTGGTGGCGAGCCTATGGCACATGTCTCAGAGATGGCATTTCAAACCCTCTCTGTGGGCATGTATGCCTTCGCCTCAGCCAGCTCCATTGCGTTTCTCCTAAGGGGGGAGGGGAGAGAGAGAGGGAGGGAGGGGAAGAGAGAAAGAGAGGGAGGAAGAGAGAAAGGGAGGGAGGGAAAGAGAAAGGGAGAGGAAGAGAGAGGAAGGGGAAGGGAGAAAGAGAGAGGGAGAGAAAGGGAGAGGAAGAGAGGGTGGGAGGGGGAAAGAGAGGGAGGGAGCAGAAGAGAGAAAGGGGGGAGGAGAAGAGAGAAAGAGGGAGGAGAAGAGAGAGGGAGGGGAGGGGAAGAAAGAGAGGGAGAGAGAGGAAGAGAAAGGGAGGGGAAGAAAGAAAAGAGGGGAAGAGATAGGGAGGGGAACAGAGAAAACGAGTGAGAAAGAGGGAGGGAAAGAGAGGGGGAGGAGAGGGAGGGAGGGGAAGAGTAAGAGAGGGAGGGGAAACGAGAGGGAGGGAGAGAGGGAAAGGAGGGTGGAAGAAATGATATTACAACAGTTTTTCTTTTTTATTGTTGCTAAGACCGAGTGGCCGTTGTGTTTCCCTCCCACTAATTTGGCAAGTGTTCCATCTCTCAGGCTGGGGGGTCAAACATTACACCCCTCAGACAGGGTTCGCAACTTGGGAGTCCTCCTGGACCCACAACTGACCTTTGACCACCAGTTGTCAGCTGTGACCAGGGGGGCATTTGCCCAGGTTCGCCTGGTGCGCCAGTTGCGACCCTACCTGAACCGGGAGGCCCTCACAACAGTCACTCGTGCCCTTGTGACCTCTAGGCTGGAATACTGCAACGTGCTCTACATGGGGCTGCCCTTGAAGAGCATCCGGCGACTTCAGCTAGTCCAGAATGCGGCCGCGCGAGTGATTGTGGGTGCACCTCGGTTCACCCACATAACACCTATCCTCCGCGAGCTGCGCTGGCTACCTGTCGATCTCCGGGTGCGCTTCAAGGTGCTACTTGCCACCCATAAAGCCCTTCATGGTAGTGGATCTGGATACTTGAGAGACCGCCTCCTGCCAATTACCTCCTCGCGACCAATTAGATCGCATAGATTAGGCCTCCTCCGGATCCCATCTGCCAGTCAGTGTCGACTGGCAACCACGCAGAGGAGAGCCTTCTCGGTAGTAGCTCCGACCCTTTGGAACGATCTCTCCGTGGAGATTCGTACCCTCACCACCCTCCAGACCTTCCGCGCAGCCCTTAAAATCTGGCTATCCCGTCAGGCCTGGGGCTAAAGATTGTAATCCATCCCCCACCCGAATGGTATGAATGTTGTATTCTTTTTAATTATGTATTGTGCTTATGTGTCATTGTTTGTATCCCCTTACCCTATAAGTTGTAAGCCGCCCTGAGTCCCCCCAGGGAAAAGGGCGGCCTATAAATAAACTTTTCCAATTCCAACATATTTCAAAGGCAGAAGAAAACGAAGGGCCATAAAAGTGCACTTATCACATTTTTCTTAGAACAATTAGCTGAACTCTACCTTGTTTATCATTATTTTAAGGTAGTGAAACCTCATTATTAAATTGCCCCGTTGGCCCTTTGGGATACATAAGTGGGTTTTGGGTTGCAGTTTGGGCACTCCGCCTCTCAAAGGTTCCCCAAGTGACATCTCATGCCTTTGGTCTATGTTCCACCTCATCTGGATCCTGAATTGATAACCTGTTCTTAGTTGTATCATCCATCCTTGGATGTTGAGATTGTTGTTTATTTGCACCTGTGGGATGATCCGACTCTCGTATTGATCAAGTCATTGAATTTGACAATGTTACAGTTTTCAATGTAGCAAAATAATTTTAGAACTAGAGCAGCAAAACCTAATTCCAGACGTTTCGAAATTTAGATGGGATTGTATCTGTAGGTATCAGAATCTAATGTTTTCTTTTGCTTTCCTTTAATTACTAGCATAATTACTGTATTTTTTGGAGACGCACCTTTCTCCCTCAAAAAAGAGGCTGAAAATCTGGGTGCGTCTTATACACTGAATACAACATTTTTTGCCTCCCGAAACCCCACCCCCTTCACCAAAATGGCTGTGCATAGCCTTTAGGAGACTTTCAGGGTGCTCCTGGGGGCTGGAGATGGCAGAAATGGGTGGAAAACGGGCCATTTTTTTGCTCAATTTTGCCCCCGCAGCCTGCTAAAAACGGGCCGTTTTTAGGAGGTCTGCAGAGTGCAAAACCTTTTTTTTAAAAAAAATTGCCTCTTCAAAATCTTGGCGTGTCTGATAGTCTGAAAAATATGGTAATAAAGCTCTCCATTTTGATCTCTGATAATCAAATTTTTGGACAGTAAGAATGGACCATATTTAAAAGTTGGATATTTTGGTTTATTGTATGCAAAATGCTGTTTAATTTTTTTTCCCCCTGTCGTGTTTGTTTTCTTTGGCACAGGAGTAAACACGGCGCCACAAACTATATTCCAGAACAGTTTCTAGATGACTTCATTGACCTTGTAATCTGGGGTCATGAACATGAATGTAAAATATCTCCAACCAGAAACGAACAACAACTTTTCTATGTTTCTCAGCCAGGAAGTTCGGTGGTTACGTCTTTGTCGCCAGGAGAAACTGCCAGAAAGTATGTTTTGATGTGTTTCACTAATTTGCATTGTATATCCGGTAAAAATGTGTGGGAGCCTTTCCTCTAAATTCTATATCCCAGTTATATAATCTTAGGGCTGACTTTTTGATGATACTACTATTGTAAGGTTTCCTAAAAATGCCCTAATTGATTCATGAGTATCAAGCCAAGTTTCAATACAAAATTAGTCATTTATTAGGAGCACCATAGGCAAGANAAAGAATAGAATAGAATAGGGATGGAATGGGAATGGAATAGGAAAGAATAAAATAGGAATGGGAATGGAATAGGAAAGAATAGAATAGTAATGGAAAGAATAGTAATGGAATAGGAAAGAATAGAATAAGAATAGGAATAAGAAAGAATAGAAATAGAATAGAACTGGAAGGGACCTTGGAGGTCTTCTAGTCCAGCCCCCTGCTCAAGCAGGAGATCCTGCACCATTTCAGACAATGTCTGTAGCACATTGTAGCATTTTTTGGGGATGCTGAGTTTTCCACCAAGCCCGGTTTGAAGCCAGCCTCTCTATTCTCCTTCCCACAAAAAACATTGTGAAAGAGTGTGCTGGCTGGTCACTGTATGGGATATGCAGAACCTTTTAAATCCAGGGGCTCGTGCTAGTCTCATTTACAGGGCAATGATTTGGGCTCATTTAATCCTATAATTTTAATTTAGAGTTTAATCCTATATTCCTGCTTTTGGAATTCTATATTATACCTTTATACATTATATTGAAGTTATACTATGTGACACTGTGTTATAGGAATTATAGAAACAAAGTTTACTTCACAGAATAACAGGGCTGGAAGAGACCTTGGAGGTCTTCTAGTCTGACTTCTACTCCCTCTCAGGAAGGAAACTCTTTATACCAATCCACTTCAGACAAATGGTTGAACAATCTCTTCTTGAAAACTTCCAGTGTTGGTTTGCCTAATTGGAAGTTGTTTATTCTCACAGGTTTTGATTTCCTTTGAATTTTAATTGTGAGTATGCTTGTGGAAACTATATAATCACCACTTTTACAGAAATAGGGCAAACCCCTCTCAGTGGTTACATAGAGACCAGTCATGAGTGTCAATTAACTAAAATAATTCATTGCTTGGATCATTCACATATGCCAAAACCTCAACACAATGTCTGCTTCAGAAGGAGCGGACCTCAATATAATTCGCTGTTTCCTTATTCTATCCAAAGAGGGGTTCACTTTTTATTTATTTTGGTGATGCCTTTGAGCCACAGTGACCGCCTGCACTGGTCCTTTCAGATTATTTGACAAGATCTTGAAAGAAGCTTGCCATTGCCTGCTTCCTAGGGCTGAAGACAGTTGCTTATCCAAAATAACCCAGATAGCTTTGTGTTTAAAATGAGACTAAACGCATCTTCCAGCTTTTAATCTGGTATCTTAATCTGATATAACTGCAGCCAAGAAATTAAAAGATGCTTGCTCCTGGGGAGGAAAGCTATGGCAAATCTAGACAGCATACTAAAAAGCAGAGACATCACCCTGTCAACAAAAGTGTATATAGTCAAGGCTATGGTTTTCCCAGTTGTAATGTTTGGCTGTGAAAGTTGGACCATAACAAAGGTTGAGCGCCAAATAATTGAGGCCTTTGAACTCTGGTTCTGGAGAAGACTCCTGCCAGTCCCTTGGGCTGCAAGGTGATCAAACCGGCCAATCCTAGAGGAGATCAACCCTGACTGCTCTTTAGAAGGCCAGATCCTGAAGATGAAACTCAAATACTTTGGCCACCTAATGAGAAGGAAGGACTCACAGGAGAAGAGCCTCATGCTGGGAACAATTGAGGGCAAAAGAAGGAGGGGATGACCGAGAATGAGATTGCTGGATGGAGTCACTGAAGCAGTTGGCTGACCTTAAATGGACTCCAAGAGATGGTAGAGGACAGGAAGGCCTGGAGGAACATTGTGCATGGGGTCACGACTTTGCAACTAACAACAACAACAAATCTGGTATCTTAATTACCAAGCCAAATTGGACCTCAGATTTTGGCTAAGTTTAATACCCAAACCACTTATTAGGATTAGGTCTCCCTTCTGCAAGTTCTACAAATGGAATGGAATATGCTAGATTGCTCTTTTATAAAATAAAAGAACATTATTCTTTCCTTCCACAAAAACCCATTGTATGTAAAAGAGAATGACTTATTCTATTCTTTCGTAGTTAAATGAGACAAGGGGGAGAAAAACATTGGTTTGTTGTCTCACACTTAATTTCTGTAGAAAAAAAATGTGGTACCTCATTATTCCACCCACAAATATTAAGATGTCTTCAAACTCTCCTATAAAACCCCCCAAATCCTTTGGAATTTTCTCTAAAGGCGCAGGAGCCATTAAAAGGCTTTAATGCTTGTTGCAAAAAAACTAAAGAGGTGATAATGATAAAAGCTAAAAATTACAGTTGCCTTGGAGTTTTCCTGTTTATACAGACTCTTGGTTTTTCATTTGTTTTTCTGTGCATCAGGCTTGAGTTTTTGGTTCAGTGGAAAAATACATTTTAAACAATAAATTATGATAGCTTAGCTTCAAGTTTATTATTTAAGATTCTTCTCTTTATTTGGTTGTTCCTAGGTCTTGACTGAAAGTCTGTTTTTTTAGTCTTTGGCTTTATGAGACCATTTTAAAATTGGAGCCAGGTTGATTGTGAAGATGAGTTCTACCACTTCCAGGTAAATTTTCCACAATATTCACATCAATGGGGAAGAGATTTAGTCATCTGTCTTGCTATCTGTGGTTTTCCTATAATTTACTGTCACTTTATCAGTGCTGAAAATGAAAACTATAAATGGATGGGTGTGTGTATGTGCCAGCATAACTCTGGAACGCTTCAAGCAATTTCAACCAAACTTGATACACGGATGACTTGCTCTCTAAAGACAAATACTGTGGGGGTAAGACACTCCTAAACACCCCTCGGGATGTGTGTTCTATTACGATGCAGCCTGTTGTTTCTTTAAATGGCTTCTACTGTACTGTAAATGGCTTCTATTGTACAGCGCAGTGGGGTTGCCATGGTAACGGCTTCACAGTACTCCACAAGAGGGCTCCCTCTGGTAAGCGGAAAAATCCAACATCAGAAATTACGTTTGGTCTGGATATTTTCCCTCTCTAAATAAATACCCAGGCAATGCTGGGTGAACCGTTAGTACTTTTATAATTTAAACCAATAATAAATTTAAAAAAACCCTGGGCTCTTATGGAATTGCAGATACGTTATAAGAAATAATTCAAGTAATTGAATGTTCTAAGTGTCATAGAGATTGAGTTAACTCTAGAAATAGAGCAGGAAGAGTTTCTGGAGGCCCAATTGTTCCCTATAATTCTATCATTCCATGAAATGAAATCTGAATACTGTGGCATTGGAAGAAGGTAATCTATAACTTTACAAAATACTCCATTGTATTAGATGCTGAAAAAGTAAATGATGCAGCCATATTACTTTGCTTCTTTTTTGTCTCCCTTAACTTTAGAGATGAAGAAGAAAAAGACACGTTTAAAATTTTAATTGCTACAGACATTCACCTAGGATATATGGAGAAAGATGCTTGTCGGGGAAATGATACTTTTGTAACCTTTGATGAAATATTGAAACTTGCTCAGGATAATGAGGTAACCCATTATGAAATCACGTTACCAAACTACCACTGAAAAGTCACATATAGGTAGTCCTCGAAAATTTGGGTGGTCCCCCAAATTTCCATTGCTAAGCAGGACAGTTGTTAAGTGACTTGCGCTTCATTTTACGATATTTTTTTTGCCATAGTTGTTAATGACAAATCATTGCGGTTGTTAAGTGGATCATGCGGTCATTAAATGAATCTGGATTCCCCCATTGACTTCGCTTGTCGGACGCTAGCTGGAAAGGTTACAGAGGGTGATTGCATGACCCATAGGATAGTGCAAGTGTCATACATACATTGGCCAAGTGCTCAATTTTTGATCATGTGACTATGGGAATGCTGCAACGGTCATAAGTGTGAAAAATGACCATAATTCATTTTTTCCAGTGGCATTGTAACTTAGAATAATCACTAAATGAATGGTTGTAAGTTGAGAACCATCTGTATTTCCTAGAAATTATTCTTATTGTTAGGACATTAATTGCAAATTACACAAATGACATCGTGAAGCCGAGACCAATTTGAGCCAATTGTTCTGTCAATAAGATTAATTTTTCAGTAATGAAAAATTAACCAGGGCATGTGTAGTTCATATTTGTATACTACACAGAATCTTTTGAGCTAAGTTAACAATTAACAATCAAAAGATAAATACAATTGATTTTAAGTCATGTAGGAATGTTAACTGTTCTGACACATACACCCTCCACCCGGTACGGTGAGTCACGCCAACACAGGGTTACTGTTAGCCAATTTATTCACAGTAATTACTCACAGACAAGACTTTGGCAGCAACCCAGACTCCCACAGATAAGAAGTACACACAAGAGCTTCTCCAGCTTTAGTATAATAGTTGAGCCCTGCAAAAAGCCTCCTCCCAAAGTCTCTTCTTATATACTCTCTTGGGAGGAGCCTAATCACAACCATCTGGCCCCAATTATCTTCTGTATCTCCGTAGTTGCTGTCGGCGCTTATCTGCTCGTCTTTGCCTGGCATCTGGGACTAACTCCCTTAGCTCCTCCCCACCGCTCCAGGGCCTGACGTCTTCACCACTGCTCCAGGGCCTGACATCAGGGAGGCTTTCATCGCTGCTCCATGCCTCAGGCGCCTCCTGGTGGCCAACCAGCCTCTCTGGTCCATGCTCGGAGTCTGAACCCTGTCCAGGGTCCTCCACATCTTCCAGAGCAACTCATAGGGCCCCTCGCTATCAAAGTCTGTTTGCAGCTTCAACGGCTCCTGCTGGGCCACAACACGTATCTTATGCATAAAATTTAATCCGGCTATTATCAGTAGTTGGTTTCAGATTAGACATATACCTTATAGAGCAAAGGAAGG